GTCAAGCCTTCTATGAAAATCAACGTTTTCAGCGCTAAAAAAAGCTAGGAAACTCTTCCGGCTACGTTTCGCAAAGGCGACCCCGCCGCTTATGTCTGGTTTTGGGACAGCAGTAAGGCAGCGTCAGCACTCTCTGCGTCTCTGCCGTCCCCATAACAGCCCTATTCTCTCGTCGCCCCTCGCGTAAAGAATGTGTACGATCCACCAAGCAGGTGAGCGAGCTTTTGCGATCCGAACCCCTCAGCTGCTTAAATCTAACCAAAAATAAGATAAAGTTAGGATTAAAACCAAGTGTTTTAGCGATCAAACACGATAAGAGTACAAGATTTCTTCCCCAAAAAATTTATCAAGCTTTCACAGTCATGACGAAAACAATTTTTCAGCATTGCAGCACGGATCTTTCAGCATGGGTAGTGGAGAACAGGAACGGGTTAAAAAAAGCTGATAAGAACGAAGTTCGCGCTTTTCACGCCCCTACAGCCTTCAAACAACGTTCAGAAACGTAATTGTATTAAAAAACTGATTGTAACATCGATTAAATCGGCTTTTAGTAAATTCGATCAATAAATCGAAAACCCTAAAATTCCGAACTTTCCAATGTACGGACGGTCGATACGCGATTTAGCAAATCACCGTCCAGCCAGAATGCCAAAGCGGCCGAAAGAAAAATTTCACGATCTACTTTAGAAAAAGGAAAACTTTAATAAACTTTGTAAAAGCAGAATTTCGTTAAAATTTGCAGTAAGCTAGGTGACTAGTGATTTTAGCGTCACAGAACGTAGTTGGGGCGGTACTGAAAAGCTATTTTAACTTGTAATGCTCTTATTTTCGAAAAAAGAGGCATTTCAGTTTTTGTAAGAAGAAGAAAATAAGAAGAATGTTTTTGACCTCTACAAAAATGTTGGACTGACTTGGCTAGCATGGATAGGATATCCTGGGGGGATACGAGGCCTGGCTAGGTCCCCTCTGCGGGCTACTCGTATGGTGTCGCGCCAAAATGGGACATTCCCAAGCGAAAGGTCCCAGTTCGACCCGCGCCCGCTGCCAATGATGGGCGATTAAAAGATTGATCTTATCTGAGCCCGCGCACTTACAATGCCGGGAATCGTGACTTGACCCCAGTGCTGAGGCAGCTTTTAGTTTGCTCTCGGGATCGGCTTGAAATTGCTGCGCACCAACCATATTGTGGATTTTTTTAGTAATTCGCCCGTAAGCTGACCGAGATTTGTGTGGGATTTTTAGCTGCAGCTGCGCAACTAGTTCGGGGGCAAACTAGCAGAAATTCTTGACGATTTTTTTCTTTTCCGTCCGGAAACTGGATTGTTGCGAAATTGACCTGGCAATCTGGCAAATAGTGGACATGGCGTTTCTAAAATTTTTTTTTACTATTTCTAAACGCAAGCTGTTAAAACTTTCGGTTAACAATCCAAAGAAAGTATACATTTTTCGACCAAATATCCCGACCAACCAATTTCAATTTCACCTAACAATTTTTTCAAGGTTTTTGTTATTGTTTTCGACTTAAAATTTCCACCAACTTTCAAATTTCCAGACCAAACCCCGACCATCAGCTCACCATTTTGATGGAGCCCGCCGAGCGAGAGTCGCGGGTAAGCTTTTCTCTTTTTCTTATAGCGTTCAGGTTGTTTTTTCGATCTAGCTGTATTCCCCCGCGCCTTTTTTGTAGAAAATCAAAGACAAATTTGTAATTTCGGCGGAGTTCATAGCTAGAATTCGTCCTAACAATTCTTTTTCAGAAAAGAAGATGGGAAGATCTCCGGCGACACCTTCGCTGCATCGACGAAAAGATAGCGGATTTATGGTTTCAGGAACGGCAGATTATTAGAGCGTAATTTTCATTTGATTTTACGTTATGCTTTTTTTAGGGAATTGCACTGCGCGAGCCCTGGGCCAGCCGTCCCCGCCTTTTCCGAGGATCCGACCAGCGGCAGCGACGGCGAGGAGCGAAGGTGCATCGTTTTTCAAAGATTTTTGGATTACAGCAAAGTGTTTTTTGGTCAGACCTACTTGCGTCGAATTTTTCGCGGCCGAATATCCTTTCAGAACTTGCGGAACGGTCGGGTTTGAAAATTACAGTGTAGTCTAGTATATTTTTGGAGTAAAAATTGCAACTTAACAACCCACTTAAAAACGTAATAGAAAAAATTAGCAGAAGTTAGATAGCGCATTTTGCTCAGCGAAACGCACGCTTTTCGATGATGTCCTTACCAAAATTTTGCGCTAAATTCGGCAAATAGCTTCGTCGCATACACTTTTTTAAAATGTGCCACAACGTTTATCAGATACTTCTTCCGACAGCGCGTTTCTTAAACGACTCTCTCGCAAACTTTTGCTGATTTTCTCCCCGACTTCTTTTACGGGGATTTAAATTTGCAATTTTGCTCCAAGAACACCCTAAAGCGCACTGTAACTTTTCAAGTAGGGCGATTCTGCAATTTCTCAAATCATATTCGGATTCAGCGAAAAATTGTACACAAAATAGTCTTGGTCTTACGAGGAGTGGTTTTTAGGGGATCTGTGAATTTTGAGATGTGACATCGCTCCTGCGATAGAGCTTCGAATTATGAACGAGTCCCATTTTTCAAAAGCTGCTACTAGGTTTTTCCAGAAAATTCGCTCTGAAAAGGCCGATTTTGAGCATTTTGACCCCGGCTTAACAAAATGCTAACTTTCAAAAGCTTATTCTCGAATATTGTTTTCGTTTATCGGTTTTGAAAGATGGTACTGGTCCAGAATTTGAAGTTCTATCGAATGAGCCATGTCACATAGTAAAATTCAAAGATCACCTAAAAACCACTCCTCGTTAGCTCGGTTCCAAGCTGGCCTAAACACTTTTTTACTAGATCTCCCCCACCGGACAAAACCGACAGCCGAGCCGCAGAGAAGCACACCACCGTTTTTACCGTTGCGAAGACCGGGCATGTGGTGACGCTGGAAAGGACCCGATTCAGCGCCGACGAACGAATGACGCTCAACCGGATGTGCTTGGAACTGATGGCCGCTCCGAAACCGGCGAAAAAGAAGTTGGTTGCGCTAAAAAGATCGTTCTTTTACCTTATCGAGGGGGGAACGAAATTTTTTTGGTTTTGAGTCTAAAAATGGCTGTTAGCTTACCAGGAAGTATTTTGTTGGGGTTTTTAGTGAAACATAACGATATTTAAATTGTAGCAAAACTATATAACATCTCTTGAAATTTTGAAAGTCGAGATTTTGGCGCAAAATCGACGATTTTTGGTATTTTTAAACCAAAATTGTAAAGGTTTTACGTGTAGGAATAATAAACAACGGTTTAGAATACTTCCGGTACCTATATCTCGCAAAAAAATATAATTCTAAAAAAAAACGCTGGTTCCTCCTGCCCCCGATAATGTAAAAGAACCAAAAAAATCCTTATGATTCTTCTTTTAGATAATCGAACAATCAAGGCCAACTTTCCGACAAGCTACACGCGATGACGCCATACATCTCTATCAACCGGGTTTATTTTGCAGGTGAAACTTGCTGATCTCTATTGTTTTGGCTGTCATTCTACGTGTCTTATTTCCTTTCAAGGCGCCATTTTGTATTATCCGAAACCTTTTGCATGTAATGAAATCTATAGAATTCTGATTAATTTCCGCTCCCGTTCCCCTGTTATAAGCCAATTTTAGCATGAAACCCTTTGTAATAATTGTAGTCGCTCGGCACTGTTTTCCCCCCTCATTTGTTTGCTGTTCTTTCTTTCGAATAAAATATGCTTTTGGAAAAGGTCATGGCGACAAATGTAGCTTTTGGTTTGTTTTCTTGTTTAGCAACCCCAGAAAGGAAAATTAGCAGAAAAGAATACATACTTTTTGAGTTTTTGGGCAGAAGCTAGCAGAGGTTATTGGGGAATTCAAGCAGAACGGGTTTTTTTGTGGAGGGCGACGGCGATCGAGGAGAGATTATTGCGGAATTTTAGGGTTGTTCGCCGGTAGCTAGCAGAGGTTATTGAGGAGCTTTTCCTTTTCATTAGTGGTGGCCGTCCGCAACTTAGCGAAGATTTTTGCGGAGTTCTTACAAGGAGACGTTTTTTATTACGAATTGGGTTTTGAGACGGCCCAGGCCAATTTTGTGCAAAATTTTGCGCTGATTCCGAATCCGCTTTTCAGGAATTGCTAGATGGCCATTTTTACAACCTTAGAAAGCGCTTTAGCTCGAGAAACGCACAAAAAAAGGTAGCTTTGAACGCCTATAAAGACTTGCAACTAATATTCATGGAAAAAAATTAACAGATCCTGCTAAAAAATCGATGCTTTCGAAGGAACTATCAGCGCCAATTTTCTAAAAATTTCGCAAATCTCTTCTGGATGAGATGGTTTGGCGTGGTTCAGTTCAAGGTTTTGGCTCTGTGCAGTTCATGTTTCTGGACTAGGCGAAAAATTCGAATGAACTTCTGAAAAATGAAATGGTCATTTAGTAGTTTCCGAACACAGCGTCGAAATAAGCGCAAAATTCTACACCCATAGATTGATTTTAGTTTTGTTGCGCCTCGCAAACCTTGCAAGGAAGCTAGCAGCGATTTTTGGGGAATTCTTCTATCGGTTGCGCGTCAAGATAGTGGGTAATGTAGCAGAGAACCTTGAGGATTCAGTCATAGATGCTTTATTTTTGTGCCATGTTTTTTCATAGAATACATGCTTTATTCAAAAAAAATACAATGCAATAAATGGCATCCCGTGACGATCCGAATGGCTGAGTTCACACAAAAAATAAAATTCACAATTAATTCAATGTCCGAAGGCACGCGTACAAAGGCAATTCGATAAGAAAATCCCCGATCTCATATAAATGGCTGCAATTAAATGCGAAATTCAGGAAATACAACGCAAGCTACAAACTACAAGATTGACTGCTGGCCAAATGTCGAAAATCGGGGGTTTTCTAGTCGACCCTCTTGCTGACGTAGCTCTTCAGCAGGCTCAACGACGGGAAACCGAGGATGAACGTTTGTACGAACCATTTCAGGCGGCAGGCAAAACTGGAAAAGCGAAGATTTTATATTTTCAGGCTTTTCTTGGGGTTTTTTCTTATTTTTTTTATATTTTTGTATGATTACTTAGACATAAATTCCAAATTTTTAGACTTTTAAGAGATATCTATATAAAATTTAAGGGTTCTTTAATGCAACTATATTGAACTAAAAACTATCCAAAAAAATATAAAAAAATATAAAAAAGTCGAAATTTTTGTCAAAAAAGATTATTTTTCGTCGAAAAATCTATATTTTTTGCGGTTTTAATAGAAATTTGTAGAGTTTTACGTTGAAAAATAGTAACAAACTGTTTTAAAATACTTCCGCTATTTATATTTCAAAAATTGGATCCTACGAAAAAATTAGGTCCCCCCGATAATGCGGAAGAACCAATCTGAGGGACATAAAAGGTCAAAACACCTTCTCGAGTAGATTTTTCGTGTAATTTGTCGCGTTACGTAGCTGCCGAGACCCAGTAGAAGCTTGGGGACGATTCTCACAGTTCCCAGTCCCTTCAGCCCTCAAAAAACCTACGTGAATCTGACGGTCTCGCAGAGAAGCAGGGCGTAGATGGCCTCACCCAAATGGGCGACCAGGGCAAAAATGTTGGTGGCAATGACGAATGACGGGTACACCTAATTACGCGATTTTTATGCAGCTGTATATCGCTAATTTACCTGTCCAATATGGCATGCCGGCGAGAGGGGGAAGATGTCGAGGGCCTCGGGTTGGTACCAGGCGTACTGGAATAGATATTTCAGCGGTTAATTGCTATTAAGCAAAGAGAGAGCGAGAGAGAGTGAGAGAGTGAGAGAGATAGAGAGTGAGAGCGAGAGGAGCGAGAGAGAGTGAGCGAGCGAGAGAGAGTGAGAGTGAGAGTGAGAGAGATAGGAAGTGAGAGAGTGAGAGAGCGAGAGAGCGAGAATGAGAGAAAAACGAGCGAGAGAACGCGAGGGAGCGAGAGCAAGAGAAAAGAGAGCAAAAAGCGCCGAGTCTCGTATTTCCTAGCTAGCACTCAATAACTTACAAAGTTGATGACCAGCGCCCCAGGGATGATGGACCACCAGAGGATTGAGGGAGTCTCGAAATAGTCGGGCATCGGTTGGATCAGTTTTCGGTGACTCTGAAACGTTATAATAACTATTCATAACGGACGTTTTTACAACATAAATAAAGAACACGCCTTATGCAACTAAAATCCCCAAAAATTTGGCTAATTACTTGTATAACTGGTAATGAAACGCTAAAAAGGTAAAACTGCTAATTTCCGCGCCATTCCGGACGCCAATCAATCGAAAAACTAATCAGAGCAAGTGGGATACCTTGAAAACGGCGTGGCTATCAGTCTCCGTCGGCTCGTATCGGCAATTCAGATATTCGCGGAGAGACTTGGTCGCCGAGACGCCGAACAGTCTGCAAAATTGGAAGTATATCTTTGTTCGTTTTTCATATTTTTCTTGCTTTGTGAAGTAGTATTTTCAAATTTTTTTTTGTAAGTTTGAGTCATAATTGTATCATAGGTTGAAGAACCTTTGCTTAAGGTTAAATTTTTTCGTTACTTTCTTTACCAAATTTTAAATTTTAAATTTATTGCTTTTATACGGCGTTAAATCTAAAAAATTTTAGATACATTCCAAAAGCCTTGAAAATCTGATAAATCTGTGGGGTTTGTTTGCCCAGCGCCACTCGGGTCACCTTTTGTAGTTTGTGGTCCCAGGGGTCACCTCCCCCACCTCTGGCGTAGAAGCTATCTCGACTGACCACCCGACTTACCGTAACACGAGCGGGATGAAATTGACGTAATTCGGCATGAAGGCGCAAATCTTCTCCTTGAGGACGGCGTCGATGATTCGACGGGAGCACGAGTCGACCGACATGAATGGGATCCATCTGGAATTCGGGGATTAAAAGATGTGTGAAAATAAAAATCGTTCGATGAGGAAGAAAAATCTAATTTTCCTCAAGCATTTCTGCTCATTTGCCGCTTCAAAAAATGTCTAGCTATTGAAGAATCACTGCTAGCCTGCCCAATCCATCGCGCAAGCAATTTTCAAACGAAATCAGGGATAACAAAGCGCATTTTCTAAGATGTCTAGTTTCCACAAAGATCACTGCTAGCATGCCCCATCTTCCAATCCCCCAAAAAATTAACTTTCCCCAATTGTCTCTGCTACTAATCCCCTTGGGTCATGGCTTTTTGGGGCCACTTACGTCGATGTGGGCCTCATTCCCTGGCTGGTGATCATTGGGGTCCGGCAGAAGTAAGGGCACACCTAAAGTCGTTTTTCCTATTGAAAATCCTTCCGTTCTTTTTCATTAAAATCAATCTAAAATGACTTACCGTAGTACACTTGACGCCATTCAATCCCCGATCTCTCAGCTCCATCTGCAGCGACTCCATCACGCCGCGAACCGCGAATTTTGTCGGGCTGAAAATTTTGGCTGCTACCAGGGTTGGTCATTTTGGTACCCGGATACCACCCTACCCGTACACGGGTATGTACCCGTACCCGTACCCTCGAAATTAGCATACGCTGGGTAAGTACGGGTACTACCGGGGTACTACCCGTACCCGTACCCCGACATTTGCATAAGTTCTGCGGGTACGGGTACATATCCGGGTACGGGTACGGGTATGTACCCTGGTACACCGAGGGTATTTCCGGTTTTCGATGCAAAGCTCGATTTTGGATGCAAGCCTGTGTCCGATTCTTGTTTAGAATGCAAATCACGGATGGGAGATGGTAGTCGATAGAGAATTCATTATTTTGCATACAAAATCGAGCTTTGCATCGAAAACCGGAAATACCCTCGGGTACCAGGGTACATACCCGTACCCGTACCCGGATATGTACCCCTACCCGCAGAACTTATGCAAATGTCGGGGTACGGGTACGGGTAGTACCCCGGTAGTACCCGTACCTACCCGTCGTATGCTAATTTCGAGGGTACGGGTACGGGTACAACCCGGGGTACCGAAAACGGGTACGGGTATGGGGTACGGGTATTCAAATGACCAACCCTGGCTGCTACGGAACCAAAATAAAAGAAAAACGAGATATCGAATCTTAATATTACGAAATGTAAAGATCATAATCAATGTAAAAACATATTCAAGTCAACCCACCAATAGGCCAGTCCAAACGTGTCGCCCGTCCATCCGGCAATCGAAGCCACGCACACGATCTGGCCGTAGTTTTCGTTTTCCATACGCTCGAGGAACGCGCGGATTGTCTAAAAATTTATACAAATCACAACCTTTTTCGTGTATGTTACGTATTTTTTTGGATTCTTTCGCATTATCGGGGGGGGGAAGAAGTAATGCCTAGTATAACCGAAGTCGCCATTTTTATCCATATTTTTGGGATTTTTGTTGGTAGAAATTTGTAAAGTGTCACGTTTAAAGTACGCAAAAAACTGTTTAAAACGCTTCAGCTATTAAATTTGAAATTGGATCTTAAGGAAAAAGACGTTTTCCCAATAAACTCACATTAATAGTTCCAATAACATTGACATCCATGGCCCTCTTCAGCTGCTCGTTCGTCAGCTCCATGAAAAAAGAAAAGTACAGCACGGCCGCGTTGCAAATCACGATATCAACACGGCCTGTAAAAAAAAAAATTAGATTTAATTTAATTTTTTGAACGCGTTTTGACGATCTCGAAATTTTGATTTTTCGGGAATTTTTAAACCATTGAATCGAATTTTCAGCTTTATTTTGACAAAACTGACCAAAATACGCCTCGATCTCCTTCGCTTTTGCATTCATATCGTCGGCATCGCTGATGTCTACCCTCCAGAAATGAGCACGACCTCCTTTGGCCTCGATTCGAGCAACAGTTTCGAGACCACCTTTCTGAAAATTGAAGGCTTTTTGGCGGTTTTAAAGGTACTGGGAAGTCAGAGGAGAGTGAGCGAGAGAGAGCGATTGAGAGGGGGAGAGAGTGAGAGAGAAAAAGCGAGAGAAAGAGAAACAGCGAGAGAGAGAGAGAGAGAGAGAGAAAGAGGGAGAGAGAAAAGGAGAGAGCTACAAAACGCAAGAACCAAACCTCATTAACATCCAAAACTGCCAACTGTGCCCCATGCGTAATCGCCAGCGTCTCGGCCATTTTCTGGCCCAATCCACTCCCAGCACCAGTGATTACGATTACATGGTCTAAAAATTGGGCTTTAATGGATTTAATTTCATTCACTATAAAAATTAGTAATTTAGTTTACAATAATTTGATTGAATTGAATAAAAAACAAATTTTAATGCCAATCTTCATACTTTTAACATCTTTCGGCTTCAACCCCATCCACCGTATCAAATCCCGCGGAATGTCGACCAGCAATAATTGGAGCAAAATGCCGATCGTCGACAGGAATTTGAACGACCATTGCGTGTAGAGGTACATCTAAAAAAGGCCGCTTCGTATTTTCGATTTTTATATTTATAATTTTTAAATAGATTTTTAGCTGGTTTGAATGTATTTCCAACCCCCATCCTTTACAGCTTTTCCGGTTTTTGACCTTTTCATAGTTTCCCGGTCCCTTTAAGCGCCGATTTCCACCCGTCAATAGTTGCGTAGTGTAGCTGGGAGTATGGAGGATCCTCGTGGAATAACAGTCCTCTTCCATACATCCTTCCCCTCCCTCCCTCCCCTCCAGCTGATGGTGGCGCCAGTTTTTCGCGCCGCAGAGTGAAAGTGTCGCCCAAAGCCAATGGCGGGGATCGAGGTGGAAAAGCCGCAATTGAGGCACCACTACGCCACACTGCTAGACAACGATTTTTTACCGAGATTCTGGCAAGAAAATAGCTGCGAAAAATTAATATAGCGTCATGGATCGCAGCGAATTAAAATTATGGAAATTCCAAAGGTTTTAGCTTTTTAAAAGAGTTTTTGCTTTTTAAAATGTCTTTAAATTCTTGGATTTTAGTCGGGGAAATCTGTATTTCCTCAAAGAATTTTTGCTGGCTAGCCGCTTGCCCTGCCCCCTCAAAGAATCACTGCTAGTTAGCCTGCGCTAAAATTCTCTAATTCCTCAAAGAATCCCTGTTAGCTGTACATCTGCACAATTCCTCAAAGATTCTCTGCTAGTCTGCCTCAAAATGAGCCGGTTTCTTGAAGAATCTCAGCTAGCTCGCCCCTGAACCGATACGGGCAAAAGGCGGTTAATAATACAATAAAATAGATTTTTGTGCCTTTTCAAGGAAATTTCGCTATTACCGTACCGTCAGCAATTTAAAAAACTAATTTAGTTAATATACCAGCTATTAAATTAATTTTAAAGCGCTGGAAAAAAGCGAAAAAATGCGTATTTTAACGGAATTCGGGGCAACAAATTCAGAAAATTTTACAAGGATAGCCAAAGAAGCTCAAAAATTCATCTCAAACTTACAAACATTCTGAACCCGGTGACATTGGAGAGATCGGGGAAAACGGAGAGAGCGGAGAGATAGCTCCGGAATTGCATGGGCTCATCGACTGGAAGGAGGAGGAGGAGGCAAAAAGGAGGAGGAGGAGGGGAGGCTGGGGTCGAAGGGTGGTGATCGGATGGAGGGAGGAACCGGCTCTACCTACGGCGGGGAATATAACGGTGATAGAGGGAGAGAGAGCGAGAGAGTGAGAGAGAGAAAAGAGAGAGAGATAGACAGATCGCTAAAGAAAAGTGAGCATCAGAAAACGGCAGAAAATTGATGATAATCGAGAGGGCAGAAAACCGAAAAAATCAGATTCTAGGGGTTTTTCAGAAAACAGGCTTTGCTGACTGGCTATCTGTTTGTCTCTCACTATTTTAGGCTCTCTCCCGCTCTCTCTCTCTCTCTTCACGCTCTCTCTCTTTCCTCGCTCTCTCTCTCTCCCTCTCTCTCTGTGC